GATATACAGATGGCTACCAGGCACACAATTGTGTAAGGATATATTACTAATAGTGACTAACATCACTAATCATCAGCAAAATGCAAATCAAAACTACAATGAAATATCACCTCACACGCTTCAGAATGGCTATAATTAACAAGACAAAAAATAACAAGTGTTGGAGAGGATGTGGAGAAAAGGGAACTCTCTCTGGTGGGAACGTAAACTGGTGCAGCCACATGGAAAACAGTATGGTAATTCCTCAAAAAATTAAGAATAGGGGCCGGCCCCGTGGCATAGCGGTTAAGTGCGCAAGCTCTGCTGCTGGCGGCCGGGGTTTGGATCCCAGGTGCGCACCGACGCATCGCTTGTCAGGCCATGCTGTGGTGGCATCCCACATAACATGGAGGAAGCTAGGCACGGATATTAGCTCAGGGCCATCTTCCTTAGCAAAAAGGGGAGGATTGGCATGGATGTTAGCTCAGGGCTGATCTTCCTCACACACACACAAAAAATTAAGACTAGAACTACCATATGATCCAGCTATTCCTCTTCTGGGTATTTATCCAAAGAACACAAAAATACGAATGCATAAAGATATCTGCATCCCTGTGTTCACTGCAGCATTATTCATAATAGCCAAGACTTGGAAACAGCCTAAATACCCATCAATGGATGAATAGATAAAGAAGATGTGGTATATATATACAATGGAATATTACTCAGCTATTAAAAAAAGATGAAATCTTGCCATTTAGGACAACATGGATGGACCTCGAGGGTATTACGCTAAGTGAAATAAGTCAGATGGAGAAAGTCAAATACCATAGGATCTCACTCATAAATGGAAGATAAAAACAACAACAACAGCCAAACATAGATACAGAGATTACATCGGTAGTTACCAGAGGGGAAGAGGGGAGAGAGGAGAGTGAAAGGGGTAATAGGGCACACGTGTACAGTGATGGATGGTGATTATTAGTCTTTGGGTAGTGAACATGATGTAGTCTACACAGAAACTGAAATATAATGATGTATACCTGAAATTTATGTAACGTTATAAACCCACGTTACCTCAATAAAAAAAAAACACTATAAAACTTTTAGTAGAAACCATTGGAGAAATTTGCAATCTTTGGGTAGGCAAAGACTTCTCCGAGAGAAGACAAAAAGCACAAACCATGAAAAAAAAAGATAAATTGGACTTTTTAAAAATTAAAAACTTCTGTTTTTCAAAAGACGGTTAAGAAAATGAAAACCACAGACTGGGAGAAAATATTCACAATACATATATCTATCTGTGAAAGAACTTGTATAGAGAATATATAAAGAACTCTTCCAACTTAATAATAAAAAGACAAATAACACAATTTTAAAAATAGGCAAAAATCCCAACCAGTTACACTGCATGATTACATTTTGGAAATGATAAAATTTTAGAAATGGAGATCAGATTCATGGTTGCCAGGGGTGAGGAGGGGGAGGGGAGGGAGGTGGGTGTGGTTACACAGGGCAACAGGCGGGATCCTGTGGTGATGCTGTTCAATATCTTGACTGCAGTGATGAATACACGAAACTAACACATGCGATAAAACTGTATAGAACTAAGTGTATACACACGCACATACAAATGAGTACAAGTAAAATTATCTTTAAAAATAAGATCAGTGGACTGTATTAATATCAATATCCTAATTGTGATATATACTGAATTTTGTAAAATGTTACCATTAGGTAAAGCCTACAGGGGATCCCTGTGTACTATTTCTTATATCTGCATGTGAATCTACAACTACCTCAATAAAAATTTCTACAAAAATACATGGGCAAAAGATTTACACAGATACTTCACCAAAGAAGATATATGGAAATGGCAAATAAGCACATGAAACAAACCGTGGTATTCATAAAATGGAACTCAACTCAGCAATAATAAAGAATGAATTACTGATATATACAACCACAAGGATGAATTTCAGATATTGTTACGAAAAAGCCAGACACAAAAGAATACATAGAGTATGAATGAAAACAGTGGTTGCCTATGATGGGTGGGGGGATTTACTAGAAGGGGATCTAATGGCACTTAATGGGGTAATGGAAATATTCGATATTTTGACTGGGGTCTCGGTTATAAGGATGGGTGTATACATTTCTCAAAACTCAACCAGTTGAACACTTAAGATCTGTGCATCTTATTGTATGCATAACTCAGTTTAAATAAATAGTAGAACAGGCAGTTTTCAGTTATGTAAAAATTGCGAAGATGGTTCTTGAATGTCTATATTTTGGGGGAAAAATATCGATCTAGAATATAAATTCCAAACTGCACAGAATATCACCTAAAGACCATCACATCTGGCTCCTGCCTTTCTGGCCTGTTGTATCTTCTGAAGTCTCCAAACACATGCTAAATTACCAAAGCAAATGCTTGCAATTCTCTATCACTTCATGCCTCTGTACCCTAATGCAGAGTACTGATCTGTTAAATATGACCCCTTTCTTGACCCTAACAAATTCCTACTTATCTTTCAACACTCATGACAAATACATCTACCATCTATATAGAGTTTCTAGCCCTTACTCTGAGAATCCCATAAAAAGGACGGGAAACTAACATTTACTGAGTTCTTAACATATGTTAGACATCTTTACACATTTCCTCATTCTCCTACCGGAATGAGAAAGTTAGTGTAAGCTAATGACTGTTAGTGTAAGCTAATGACTGTTGGAGGGCTGATGTTACTGGCTACTTGAGAGCTGGAGAGAGAGGGAGGTGGAGCAGTTCATCCTGAAATTAACCAGAGGTCAGGCTTCTCTCAGATTAACCAGTTGCCCAGCAGTTAGGGAGTGCCAGCCTAGAAGATATTCAACACACATAGAAATACTGTTTTTTTAATAATGACTTTTAAAGAACAGTCAATCCTAGGAAAACACCTGGCTGTAACTCATCCAGGCAAAGAAAAAAAAGTAAATACACTTAGATGTCTCTTTTGGACACTTACCTGTATTCTTTCTTGCCCCGTGGTGGAAGCAAACCCTGAAGCTCTACCACAAAGTCCTCATGCAACAAACAATGAGAAACAGGAATGCTAGAGGAAAAAAATTTGAAATTTTGTTCTAGGAGGCAAAGAACAGAGGTCAACATCCTAAAATTAAATCCAAACTATGGGTTGTAAACTTCAGTCCACGTATGACCTCTCCAGGGTTTGTAAATCCACAAACTTTTATGTCTAGGTGCATTCCTCTGGGGAAAGGGTCCACTGCTTTCATCTTTTTCCCCTCCCCAAATAAAGCATGACAATAAATATATCTATCTTTTGCCTGATGACTCAAAAGTTTAAAACTACACTGTGCTATGCAATAACCCCAGGAACGACTGATGTGTCTAAGGCTGGCTGTGAATTTTCCCCAGGTTCTCCCATCACCTTTTTTCCTTCAATAACCTGTTAGCTATCACTTGGCGTTATTCACATACCCACACTAGCAACACACTCCTTAATTTGCTTCATGCTTGGTGTAAGTTTTTTAACTCCTCCCTTCCAAGTTCTTATTATGAAAGAATTTATACATAACATTTGAGAGTAAAGAGGTTTGAGTGAAGGTCTAAAATACTCTCATAGGACCTGTGGCAGTTTTTTCTTTCTTTTTGCTTATATTCTGATTACCAGACATATTCCAAATAGGTCAAGTTTATCAAATAACTGTCTTTAAGTCAAATATTATTGTACTAGTTTGTATAGCAGTACATTTGTATAAATGGCACTCTATTCAAGGGTACATTTCTTTTAACGTTAAACTGAGTCTTATGCTACTATTAATGCTTAATTCCTACCAATCTGAACATTCTTTCACGTCTCATGAAACTTGAGCTAGGTCCTAAACCTAAGAAGCTCAGCATAGAAATTAGAAATAGGGGCCGGCCCAGTGGCACAGCAGTTAAGTGTGCACGCGCTGCTTCGGCGGCCCGAGGATTGGCAGATTCGGATCCCGGGAGAGCACCCACGCGCCGCTTGTCAAGCCATGCTGTGGCTGGCGTCCTATACAAAGTAGAGGAAGATGGGCACAGATGTTAGCATAGGGCCAATTTTCCTCAGCACAAAAAAAAAAAAAAGAGGAGGATTCGCATCAGATGTTAGCTCAGGGCTGATCTTCCTCACAAAAAAAAAAAAAATTAGGGGCCGGCCCGGTGGCGCAAGCAGTTAAGTGCACGCGCTCCGCTGCGGCAGCCTGGGGTTCGCTGGTTCGGATCCCGGGCGCACACCGACGCACTGCTTGGCAAGCCATGCTGTGGCGGCATCCCATATAAAGTGGAGGAAGATGGGCACAGATGTTAGCCCAGGGCCGTCTTCCTCAGCAAAAAAAGAGGAGGATTGGCGGATGTTAGCACAGGGCTGATCTCCTCACAAAAAAAAAAAAAAAATAGAAATAAATAGTAACCTGGACATCATGATATGTTGTTGATAGCTTGAGCACTCTGGGTTTGTCCCTTCTATTTTAAGATTTGACACTGCTTTACTCAAAATCATGTTATATTTAATTAAAATGGATCCCAGTAATTGCTTTCAAATTAAAAAAAAACCTATTAGAGGGCTAAGAAAATATTTTCTCTATAAATTTATCTTCTCAATCTGTAAACAGGTAGTCTTTCACTTAGTTTGAAAGCATAACAAAGACACAAATCATCTAAATCATAGAAGGGAAACATGAGAAGTTAATATACATGTTGAAAAAATACTTTATTTTCTAGTACTGATATCCATTATGTGCCTTACATGACATAAAAAAAATTAACTTTACTAACTTCCGTAGAGAGCAGAAAAAAGGTTTAATGATGTGATAGTTGGAAATTTCACATGCTGTGGACACTTGGTACTGTGAAAATACTAACGCTTTATGAGAATAGTATTAATTTTTCTCACTTTAAAGAAGATACTTAATATTCTGGGTCTCTGATTTGAATTTTGTAAAACCACAGTGCTGAATCAGATTTCTGATGTTTCTTTCAGCGTTGATCTACAAAGTAACTTGTTTCTTTGGATTATCGGTCTCACCAATTAAATGCCGAGAATCCTATTTTTAAATGGGGCTGATAATCTGACCACCAGCGTGTTTTAACCTCAAACATTTAACACCCAGTTCAGCCTAAAACCAGTGCAAAACTGGGGCCAATTATTTTCTACTACGCCTGTACGTCCTCGCTTAAATGGTGCAAGGGGTGGGGCTAATGTACCAGCAGAAGGAAGTGGTCAAAGCTTGACGGGTGAGTAGAAACCCAGAGCTGGAAAGGACCAGAAGGATCCAGAAGTAGCCGATCCTCCATTTTACAGGTGGCGGAATCGCGGGTCCAGAGAGGGAAACTAACCAGCCTCGGGTCACACAAGCAGTAGTGGAGCGTCTCCCGAACCCGCCACTCTAACCTGAGATTACCAACTACTTAAAGTGCCCTGGCTCCGCAGACCAGGGGCCCCAGGTCTCCTAGTCCCTGTGGCGCCGGGCAGTGGGGAGCCGACGGCTCCTCCACGGAGGCCGCGCGCGGTCGCAGGGAAGGTGACCAGTTCGAGACCTACTCGGTGGGACTGACGAAGCCGCACGTGTCTGCGTGGCACACGTAGAAGCTCTTTCCTTTATTCGGGCCATCGCGGATGCCGGTCTTCAGAAAGCAGAAGGTCTCTGAGGAGAGAGGTCGACAGCGATTACGCCACGCTAGATTGACAGACCCCGGGGGACCCTACGCCCCCGGCCCCTTACCGTGCTCTGGGCACCTAACTACTTCCATCACGCTCTTTCTCTCCTCTTCCTAGGCGCCCCGCCCTAAGCCCGGCTTCCGCCTTTTGCTCCGCCCGCCTCACTCAGGAACCAATCATCATCCACCTCCTCTAGTCTCAACCCCCATAACTCCTCTCTCGTGGCCTTAACTCCTATTATCAGCCAATCATACAGGAAGTTCGCTCACTTCCAACCAATCACAGCCTCCCTCAGGCTCGGCGCGCTCCGAAATCAAATACGAGGCGTGGCGGCTCTGGCCTTGGGGGATGGGGCGTGGCTGAAGTTGGAGGGAGGGTTAGAGGCTGGCAGGGCTTCCGAGGAGAGGGCAGCTATGGTATGCCCGTCCTGGAAGAGGGGAAAGGCGCAGCTGAGACTGTGGGCGACTCTAGTTGACATTGAAGACCCAGAGGCGGCCCTAGGGGGAGCACGCGTCACGAGCTGCAGAGGGAGCTCTTCTCCCGGGGGCCGAGAGCGCCTCGAGCTTCGCAGTCGTCTCGGAGCCGGGGTCTGGCGCTCCTGGGCGCTCTGCCGCTGTGCGCGGTCGCTGGGGAGGGGACTCCCGGAGAAGCAGCCACCGCAGGAGGAGCCACTGAATTTGAAGTGCTGGAGCGGGGGCGAGGTGGGGTGCGGGTGAGGGGTGACGGGGGCGTCCTTTAAAGCCGTACGGTGAACTGAAAAGTCTGTCCTAGATCAGGCATCAAGACTTCGCTAGGACCCCGCGACAACCCTTTAAATTTGCGTAGCGATTTAGACTTCACAGAGTACTTACACATACGCGTCTCTCTGGACTCGACAACCTGGTGAGATGGGCAGCATTTTATGGAGGACCCCGAGACTCACAGAAGTTTAAGTGCCTCACCCAAGGTCACAGAAGTAATAAGTGGGCAATCTACGGACGGGGGCCCGGGAGACCGCGCAGCTGCCTCCTGTGTGTGCTCAGTGTTCTCTAGGCACTCAGTGTAGGAGCCCTGAGTTAAAAGTGTCGGAAGTGGAGACAACAGGGAGGAAATAGCTTACCTTTCGTGAAAGGGAATTTTACTTTGTACATTTTGTATTGTCACATTTTCTACTAGTATGCTTTTGTGATATTAAAAATGGGGGATGAAGTTAAATAAAACAAAGGGGACTGTATTTGAAATCGCAATCAGATCTATTAGTTAACAAAAAGGGAGGAATAGAAATCAAAGACTTACTGCAATAGAAATGGTTTCATATTACAGCTATTGAGAACCGTGTGTCCAGACATATGGTGTGGCATGTGCAACTCTATTTATGGGGCCAGAAGGACAGAAAATCTGTAATGTCTAGGAAATCTGGGCCATGTGATAAATGTAAATGTCATGGGGGGTCCGGAGGAGGGGAGACTGAGGTATCATTTATTAATTAAAGTACTTATTAAATAGCTTTTTGTGTGCTCAATGTGGACTAACTGCTTGAGAATTATAAAATTCATTTATTCACATACACACAAAGTTTAAAACAACCATTCTAACCACAAGGAGCTTACTCAATATTTGGAGGAGACTGAGCTGGCACATATTGAAAACTTAACATAACAACGTAAAGTAGTATTTAAATGTCAAAATGAGCGGAGTTAGCAGTAAAGTCTATCGGGCTAGATAAAGATGTGTCTGGAACCAAAGCCGAGTTAGTTGCTATGTAACTCCTGGTCTGAAACACCTATAGATACACTTAGAGATAAGATGGGAGCAAAAAACAAATCGATAAATAGAGGCATTTCCATTATCCCCAGATTATAATTCTTGCATTGAGAGGTTTTTGTGTATATATTTAATAGATGCTGTATTGGGAGAAGTAGACCATGAGTACTGGATTTGCAGGATAAGGGGCATGATAATTTACTTATTTCTTGAATAATAGCTTTTTGAAACAAATAAGACAAAATCAGGGCCTCTTAAATATCCCGTTAAGGAAAAGCTCTTCTTCTGCAGGTATCTAAGCCAGTATCTCAGGTCTAACCCCATGAAAGTGTATACAGCCAAATCACAGAAAGGGGGAATATTTCTTCCATAAATTTAGGATATGCTAGATCAAAATGTTTATGCTCTGGACAGTTTATCCCACCTAATCATGTTTATAAGAGTGAAAAAACAAGTTTGTCATTGAGTGAAAGGTGACCATAGTATCAGCATAAACTACAATGAATTATACAATATTCACTTTTCAAAATATATGAATACATTAGTGTATATGTATTAACTTTTATTCTTAATTTATATTTATATATATATACATTTGTGTGTTTGTGTGTGTGTGCATGTGAGGAAGATTAGCCCTGAGCTAACATCTGTGCCTATCTTCCTCCACTTTATATGTGGGACGCTGCCACAGCATGGCTTAATGAGTGGTGCCTATGTCCATGCCCAAGACTTGAACCTTCGAACCCTGGGCTGCCAAAATGGAGGCAAGAACTTAACCACTATGCCACTGGGCCGGCCCCTATATTTATATTTTTAATTTATATCACTAATTAACTTGCAGACCCTTGGGGAGACCTTTGGAGAATGTGCTTTATGAACCTCTATTTTGAGTAAAGTTGAGGTTTTGAGTTTGTTTTTCTTTAAAGCTTGATTTATTCAAAATGAGTAGGTCCTAGAGCTAGATAGTTTAAATCCACAGGTTAATGATTCAATAAATTCTTTCCATACGAGGCTGGTCAAACACAAAGTATATGATGGAATTGTTCTAAAACTAGATTGTGGTAATGGCTGCACAACTATATACATTTACTAAGACTCAGGGGACTGTACAGTTTAAATAGGTGAATTCCATGGTATCTAAATTTTCCTTCAATAAAGCTGTTAAAGGGCCGGCCCCGTGGCTTAGCGGTTAAGTGCGCGCGCTCCGCTGCTGGCGGCCCGGGTTCGGATCCCGGCGCACACCGACACACCGCTTCTCTGGCCATGCTGAGGCCGCATCCCACATACAGCAACTAGACGCATGTGCAGCTATGACATGCAGCTATCTACTGGGGCTTTGGGGGAAAAAATAAATAAAATTAAAGAAAAAAAAATCCTGTTTAAAAAATAATAATAATAAAGCTGTTAAAAAAAAAAAACAAACACAAAACCCCAAGGCATAGGCAATGACAAAACATCTGCATGGAAAACAAAACCTAAGATTTATCATCCAGATACTTTGACATCCTAAGGAAATACAATGGGTGAAGGAGTAAAATAGTAGAAACTCTTTAGTTTCAGGTGGTGTAGATCCTTAAGCAGACTGGTTCTCTGACCCATGCAATAAAATCTAGAGTGATGCAAACACTCATTTTAATTCTTGGGAAAATGAGAGAATTATGTTTTCTCTGGTCAGCATTGTGCTGGCTGGCCTATATTAAACATGTCAGACATCTATAAGATGCTGGTGGTGAGAGGATCAGCTAGAACAGTCACCCACCCCTTAACACACTTGTCACTGTCTGTATTGTTTAAAAATAATCAGAGATTCCAAGTTAGTTGTAAAATTCCAGCTTCTGTGCAACCTTATCTTTACTTATTATTTTAATTATTAAATTGTCCAACTATGTTTTTCCAATCAACTGATAACTCTAAGAAGTATATTTCATTTTCTGAACGTACATCCTTCTGGGTTTTTGCTCATTACTTTGGGATGGGGTGGGAAGGAGTAACTAATTTTAGATGGCGGATAATGGATTTTTGCCCATGAGGCACATTATTACTAGAGGGAACCATCACTGTAGCCTAACTTTTTCTGGGGTGTATAAATTCTTTTACGTGCATTTTCACATTTAGTGGGTGAAAGTGGGTATTCTTTTATCCCCATTTAAGAGTAGGATACCGAAGTTGAGAGCAGTTAGGAGCTTGTCCCAAGGCCATGCTCCTACCCACTACCTTACAGAGCCTCACCATGAACTTTGGAACCACACGGGGCCCATAGATTAATCTTGTTCTGGCTCAAAGTCACAAAGCTGACACCAGGCAGATCCGGGTCTGGCAGCCATTTTTCGAGATTCCCAATCCAGTTCTTGCCACGACAGTATTTTTATGAAGCATAAATTATTCAGGGCGTCATTCAGATATTTAACCTACACATAGCCAAACATTCAGATATTTGTGGTGTACAGACACGGCCCAAATCCAAGACAAAAAAACAAACCAAGTCCTGCCATTTTATAAATGATCACTAGGTAGCAGCATGTTAACATAAAAACCAAACATAAGGCCCGCCTTTTCTGTTGTTTCATTCTTTTTTGCTTAACGATACATAATAGTAATTCAGTTTCCTTTCATTTTGTGTCTTTCAAATATATGACCACTTTGAACTTGTCCTTTGACGTAGGCACAGTCAGGATATTATAGTAAGGACAAATCTGGTTATAATTTGAAAAGCCAAGAGACTTTACAAATTCTTTTGTTGTACCAATATTTTGTATGAGGTTCCAAATTTCACTGATCCTAAAATATCCCAAAAATTGTTCAAAGCAGGCCCTCCTTCATCTACTTTTCTTTTTGGTAAGCATACATTCAATACTTTTTTGGTAAATTTATAAATTTGTACAACCATCACCAGTCTCCAGTTTTAGAATATTTCCATCACATCAAAAACTTCCCTCAAGCCTGTGGCTAGTCAATCCCTACTAACACACCCAGCACCAACGCAACTGCTGATTTGCTTTCTGTCTTTATAAATTTGCCTTTTCTGGACATATCATATAAACGGAGGATACAATATGTGGTCTATTGCCCCTGTCTTCTTTCATTTAGCATAATGCTTTTAAGGTTTATCCATGTTGTGGCATGTATCAGTATTTGACTCTTTTTACTACTAAATAGTATTCCATTGTATTCATTCACCAGTTGATAAACATTTGAATTTTTTTCCCTTTGGAGTTACTAGGAATAATGTCATGAATATTAACAAGTCTTTATGTGGATATTTTCATTCCTCTTGGATTCCTACATGTGGAATTGCTGGTCGTATGGTAAGTTTATGTTTAACTTTTTAGAAAATTGCCAGACTGTTTTCCAAAGTGGCTGTACCGTTTTATATGCCCATGAGCA